AATAATTCTTAATATATTATATATTTTGACATATTCTAAAGTATTAACTAAATTTAGATATTTTAAATCATAATGACTGAGTTATGTCATAGTGTACCGGTTCTTCTTTGAACCTACTATTTCTTAATGACTTTCAAAGAATATTTCAAAGAAATATTGCTACAATCAATGAATGCTCCATGAACCTGTACATTGAAGATTTGTTAATGAATTTCAATTCACATTTGTCAATTTGTATTGGCAGTATGAGAGAGCACAAGTTTACAGTAAACAAGAGCCGCTACCAGATGGGAGCAACACTCGGCTTTTCTTAAAGCAAACAAAAAAAAAAACGGTTTTAACGAATATTAAGAAATTGTTTTTTTCTTTTATCAATTTTTAAAAGGTCTGTCTACTCACACATGTTGTTTTGTCCAAGTATGAATCCTTTCCATAAAAATGCCAATGTTAAGAAAATATAATAAAAAATCAATCATTTGATGGTCAAGGTCATTTCAAGGTCAAAGTAGGATCTCAATTATTCCACATGTCTGTTTGTTCATAAGTGTTGTTTTATCCACCTATGAATCAAATCAATAAATAAATAACAAAATTACGACAACTTAACCAAAATTCAATACTTTGACCTTGACGGTAAAGTTCATAAAGAGTTTAAGGTCAAGGTCAGTTCAACCTTTCAGAACGTCTTGTCCATAAAGTTGTTTTGTCCAAGTATGAAAATAATCCATTGATTAATTACAAAGTTACAGCAAATTATAAGTGATAATCAGTGACAAAAAAATTGTGTCTAAATATATCGTTAATCCATAGGTAAATAAGAAAGTTATAGCCAGATACAAAAAAAAACAAAAACAAAAAACACGAGTATTTTATTAATTTGACCTTGACAGTCAAGGTCATTTTAAGGTCAATGTCACCAATATGTTTGTTTGGTAAGGGTCTTGTTTTGTCCAAGTTTAAATCAATTCCGTACATAAATAACAAAATTAAACCAAAATTAAATCATTTGACCTAGACGGTCAAGGCCATTTAATGATCAAGATCAGTTCAACCTTTACAAAAGTCTTGTTCAAAATATTTTGTCAAAGTATGAAGGTAATCCATTTATTATTTACCAAGTTACAGTCAATAATAGCAAAATAAGTGATATTCAATAACTTAAAAATCTTCAAGGTCATAAAAGAGTTAAGGTCAAAATGAGTTTAATATACACTAAGGTCTTATCCTAAAGAATTTTCTGTCACAAATGTGAAGACAATCCATTCAATAATTATTATAACAAAGTTATAGCCAGTTACAGCAAAAAGTGGAAAAGTTCAATGATTTGATCTTCAAAGTCAATATCATTTATGAGTGACGGTGGAGTTATGTCAGGCAAATTTCAAGGTCTGTCATAGGTGTTTATTATGTTCGAGTTTTAACACAATCCATTCAAAAATAACAAAGTTACAGCCACTTATAACAAAAATCAATGGAAACAAGCAAATTCCAGACATTTAACGATCTTGAAGGTCAAGGTCATTTAACAATGAAGGTCATGGTTAGTCTACTTAAAGGTATTGTCCCAAGGGCTGTTGTGAACAAGTTTGAAGACAATTCACAAAGAACTTAAAACGTAATGATCAACATACAAGTTTGCGGACGTCAACACCGACATGACTGTAACAATTTCTCTACTTTTTTCTCAAAAAAGTTAAGCAAAAACCTTTAAGCACCAGTGACCATTATCCCAGAAACCCTTACTCATGACCACTCAAGGTATCTACCTAGATTACGGAAATACCATAATGACCCTGAACTTTACATACCTGGTTCTAAAATTCCATATAGTAATAAAAGAAGTCATAGAATTTTTGTTTCCTATTAGATCATGTATGTACGAGGTAAAATGTGTCAGTATGACCACTCAAAGATGGCTGCAGCCATTAGTATGGGAAAGAGTGACATGCCCCAAGCAAGAGCCACTAGGCTCTTTTATGTCCTCGGGACCACCCTTCATGACAAAATCAAAGGCAGGGTGCCAGAACAAGCCACAAGACCAGGTCCTATTCCTATTTTGACACAAGCTGAGAAAAAGACAATTGTGGTGTATGCCAAATTGATGAAAGATATTGGTAAGTAATAGTTAATAAAAGGTAAACTGTTTGTTTGTTTGGATTTTTACGGCACGTCAACACATAACTGGCCATATCGTGCCGAATGCTATATTAGGCTTAAAATGTTATGTAAAACATTGTAAATGACAATAGAAATGAGCCAATTAGATCCTAGAATACAAGTTTATCTCTTTTAAATAATCAATTATGTTTTTTGATGGAATTGTATTAAAAAGTTCTTTGAGTGAATTTACAGAATAAAATCTATTACGGGCCTGTGAAAAATCATGACATTCAAGAAGAAAATGCTTGACGGTAAAATTTTCATTACAACCTACACAGAAAGGGGCATTGTCATTTGTGAGGAGATAAGAGTGGGTAATTTTAGTGTGTCCAATTCGGCATCGAAGAAGAACTGTTTGATCACGGCGGTTTGACAGAGATAGAGATGGTGACATATCAAGAGATGGGTTTATATCGTGAAGTTTATTAAAAACGGCATTTTCCCAATTTGCTTTCCATTCAGATGATACGAGTTTATTTATAGCCGGTCTAAAATCACAAGCAGGTAACAATAAGTCAGTTTTTTGAAAATTTAATGATTGTTTAGCTAAAGCATCTACTTTTTCATTTCCTCGTATTCCTACATGGCTTGGAATCCAATATAATTTAAGATATTTTTTTTTTAGTATATCATGAAATCGCAAAAGAAGTTTCTTTACCATGATATTGTCAGATTTTTTATTTTTAATGGATATTAAAACAGAAAGCGAGTCAGAAAATATCACAAATTTATCGTGGGTATGCTGTGCTATGTATGACAATGCTAAATCGATAGCTTTTGCTTCAGCAGTAAAAATTGATGCATTATCTGGTAACCTCATACTAGATGTAAAATTATTTTCAAACACAGCCGCACCTACTTTGCAACCTTCTTTTGAACCGTCCGTATAAATATGTATAAAATCTTCATGTTCTTCCTTAATTGATAGAAACTTCTCTTTGAAATATTCAGATGAATTTGATGCCTTTTTTATATTTGAAAGGTTAATATTTATTTCCGGGGAATTATAAGTCCAAGGTGGAACATCCGCATCGTCATTTTGAAAGATACTGTCTGGATTAATTTTAAGTTCACTAAATTATCTTTTAAACGAAGGCCTAATGGTTTAATTTTCTTTGGTTTGATAACAAATATTTCAGTATAACTTGGTTTGAAAATAATATTTTAAGCTGGACTTTTCCTATTAGATGAAATTCTAGTTGCATATTGAAGTGATAGTTTTTTACGACGAAGATAAAGCGATGGTTCCCCAGCTTCCGCATATAGACTTTTTACAGGTGAAGTGCGAAAAGCACCTAAAGCTAAACGTAAACCCTGGTGATGTATGGTATCTAGCATTTGAAGATATGATTTTCTTGCGGACCCATATACTACAGAACCATAATCTAATTTTGATCGGATAAGACTTCTGTATAATTTCAGTAATGTGGAAGAATTTGATCCCCAATTTGTACTTGATAAAACCTTAAGTAAATTTAAAGCTTTTAGGCATTTAGTTTTCAAATGTTTAATATGTGGTATAAAAGAAAGTTTTTTATCAAATATAATTCCTAGAAATTTAGCTTCATCAACTTCTGGAATTTTAGAACCAGATATGTAAAGTTCAGGGTCATTATGTGGTTTTCGCAATCGGCAGAAATGAACACATTGTGTTTTTGACTTTGAAAATTTAAACCCATTTTCTATTGCCCACCTCTGAATTTTATCTAAATTTTGTTGAAGTTGCCGTTCAATTGTTCTCATACTTTTCGATCGATAGCAGATAAGAAAATCGTCTACATATAGAGAACAATCTATGCCTGGTGTAAGAGCGCTAGCAATATTGTTTATTTTAAGGCCAAAAAGTGGTGTAACAGAAAGTATGCTTCCTTGAGGAACACCTTGTTCTTGTTGGTGATCCTCAGAAAAAGTTGAACCAAGTCTTACTTTAAAGTGCCTATCGTTTAAAAATCCAGAAATGAAAAGAGGAAGTCTGCCTTTAAGTCCAGCATCCTTTAGATCTTTTAGGATACCATATTTCCAAGTAGTATCGTAAGCCTTCTCAAGATCAAAGAAAATTGATACCAGGTGTTGTTTATTTACAAAGGCTTCTCTAATAAAAGTTTCAAGTCGTACAAGATGATCGTTTGTACTTCGCTGTTTACGAAAACCTGACTGAAAATTAGTAATAATTCCATTATTTTCTAGATACCAAACTAACCGATTATTTATCATTCTTTCGAATGTTTTGCAGAGGCAACTTGTCAGTGAAATTGGGCGATAATTTGTAGGGTTAGTTGAATCTTTTCCAGGTTTAGGGATAGGAATAACCAACGCATTTTTCCAAGTGTTAGGAAATTCACCAGAAACCCAAATTCTGTTAAAATTTTCAAGAAGCAAGTCAAGAGATTGGGGCAGTAGGTGTTTAAGAAACTGGTAGTAAAAGGTAAACTAAGAAGCATTTCTTCAACTCAAATGACTATCACAATACAATGTAATTGAATGATAATAAAGAATAATATGAATCAAGCACTTAGATAAATTTGTTTAAAAAAGTACATCAAACTTTTTGGGGGCGTCCGTGGCCGAGTGGTTAAGGTCGATGACTTCAAACCACTTGCCCCTCACCTCTGTGGGTTCGAATCCCGACAGGGACTTTGGATTCTTTCATTTGAGGAAGCTATCCAGCTAGCTTACAGAACGTCGGTGGTTCTACTCAGGTACCCGTTCGTGCCTGAAATAATGCACGGAAGGACACCTGAGGTCTTCCTCCACCAGTAAAGCTGGAACGTCGCTATATGACCTATACTGTGTCGATGTGACGTAAAACCCAAAACAAACAAAAAACAAACATCAAACTTTTTAACTTTTAAACTTAAAACTATAACATTATGAATCAATCACTTGAAAGAACTGCTATCAAAGATAACAACTATATCTGAAAAAAAAACAACAAAACAAACATCAAACTTATAACAATAACATTAACAATAAATATACAAATTGCAGGCATGTATATCTTATTTCAATCTTCATGAATGAAGGTTATCCAATGATTTGATCAAATTACTATTGTATATAATTTTTTATGTATATGTATGTATTACGCACATCTTGCAAACAGTGAATATAATCTACATTATATTCACTTTTTGCAAGATGTGCATAATACATACATATACGTATAAAATTATATAGAATAGTAGCTTGATCAAGAAGTATAAAATTTTGCTTTTATATAATATTCAATGTCTTAAATGAATTATATTAACACTATTTGTAATTTTAATTTATAAATTATGTTTCCTTTTTATTACTGAAAATATTCTATTTATGAATCCTATGTCAGCTATTACTAAATCCCCTGATTTCAGAATTTCAGCAAACTTTGAGGAGATTACAATATCCCTGTCACTTTTGTTTTCTTCATATACACTCGATAGAAAAGTAATTGCGCCAGTGGGGGCAATGCCGACCAAACATTTTAAAGTTGTATGGTTTTTATATGATAACAGCAGGCAGGTGATTTTAAATTCATGTGTTCTGTTTTTGACTCAAAGCTATTGATGACTTATTGCTCTGAATGCACCGTTCTGTTTTTTTTTAAATGCTGATCACTGTGAATCATTTGAGTTTGGGTTTCCTTATCATTTGTTGATCTAATCTTTGTGGCAAAGTATATATCTTGGGCATCAAGCACGTCTGGCTGAAATTATGTAACAAATGTTGGCATTTAAATGAGATTTTTATCTGCAACAACATAAGTAGAAATTCCCCTTTTTACCAGATATCAGAATGAATACAATAAATGCGAACAAATATTCTGTAATTTGTTTTAAAATTAAGGCACTTACCTGTTTATTTGGATATTACTTGTATTTCTCATCAGAGTATGCTTTCTGCACTTTTTGTATTTTGCATCGTTCAACTAAAGTAGAGCCTCTGAAACCTCAAACAAAGTTTTCTTAGATACAGGTGCTGCCCTTGGAGTTGGTGGCTTTCTTTAGGTGAATACTTTTCTACCTGTAATAATTGTTTGGTTTTAATTTATATTAATACAGAACAAAAATGTAAAAAACAGACTTAATTAAAACAAATTAAAATTAAGGCACTTACCTGTTTATTTTATAATTACTTGTATTTCTCATCAGAGTATGCTTTCTGCACTAAGTTGTATTTTGTATCGTTTAACTGAAGTAGAGAACAAAGTTTTCTTAGATACAGGTGATGTCCTTGTGGTGCATTTCATTTACGTGAATACTAATCTACCTGTAGTAATTGTGTGGTTTTAATTTATATCAATACAGAACAAAATTGTAAAAACAGACTAAAGTCTTAATTGAAACAAATTCTTATCAAAATAAAAATATAAACTACAACATGACAATTTATTTAAATCTATATGGTCCGTTCCCAACTTTATATAAAACAAATATTATTCTTATAATTTTCATACCTGAAGTGGTGTATATGTTGCAGGAACAGGGTCTGGATGATTGTCTGTAGGTCCTTTACCTCCAACAATATGTTTGCTGTAAATGTTAGTCCACTTTTAATTGTGATTTACAATAAAGTCTGTCTTTCCAACCACATTAACTTATTACACTTTAATTCATTTGTTTTTGGTTTTGGAAATGGTGTGAAAAAAAAACATATCTTGCATATAATCTCTGTCATTGTACCTTGAGTTTCTATAACAAATACCATAACAACAATATTTTGTTCCACCAGAGCTTTTTTTTAACAAGATTTTAAATTTTCAAGATTTTATTTCAAAAGGCATAAACATTTTACAATGTCCGTCGCCATAAACAGAATGACGGTTACAAATAGTTTATGAGAAAAGTATGTAACTGAATACAAATAATTTTTACATTAACATTTTTATATTTAAAGATCACATAATACATTGTATTTCAATATATGTTTGTAAACAATAGTATGCTATATATACCAATATCATTATTTGAAAACAATCAATCATTCGTTCTTTCACAAAGTATATATAATTTGATAATGTAATAACAGGTCCATGCTTAGAATTTTTCATTAAAGATATATATTTATTTTAGGTAGGCCAAGAGCAATAATATTTTGGTAAATGTTCTTTCCTTAATTCCCTTTAAAATGGACAAACTAGTAAAAAGTGATATTCTGTTTCAATTTCATTCATGTTACATTTTAAACAAATTCTCTGATCTCTGTCAATATTCCTAAATCAACCTTCTTCTATCATAAGTGCTGAGCATCTAAATCGTGATAAAGCTATTCTAAACTTTGGATTTTTTACTAAAGAAAGGTATTTTTCAAAATCAAAACTATCTTTTATAATCTCATACGTCTTTAATTTTGATGAATTACTAATTTCCGATAACCATTGTTGATTATATTGATCATATATACGTTGAATGATGGTTTTTAAATAAATAACATTGGGATTATCAAAAATATTAGAAAATCCTAAATTCTGTAACAATTTTCTAACATCAATCGACCATTTATTAACATATTGATTATTTCTATATTTCATCATTAACAATTTATACGTAAGAGAATCAGGCTGTTTGACTATTCTATACCAGTATTTTACAACACGTATTTTGCGTAATATTAACAAAGGTACCCTTCCAAATTCACCATATACAGCAGCATTTGATGTTTGCTGTATAAAACCCAGAAGTTGTTTCACAAACTTTTTATGAACATGTTCTATGTCTGGTGCATTATGCAAACCCCATACTACAGAATCATAATTGAGAACAGGCATAATCATGTAGTCAAATAATTTTAACTTTTCCGATATTTCTAGAGACACGTTATTAAAAAGTGAATTAAGTGAGTAAAGGGCCTTAAAGGCTTGTTCTGACAAAGATTTTTGTGCTTGAAACAAGCTACCGTTTGACGAAATAGATACACCTAGATAAGTAAATTTATTAACACATTTCAAAATTTGATCATTATACATAAATACATCATTTTCTTATCTAGTAACAAGAGGGCCAAGATGGCCCTAGATCGCTCACTTGACACATCGGACTCATCCGAGCAATTACGTAGACAAACATCCTGACCAAGTTTAATGACAGTTGAGTCTAAAATATGACCACTAGAGTGTTAACAAGGTTTTTTTCATCCGTAATGACCAATGTTGGAATCCTTCCCAGCAATTATCTAGACAAGCATCCTGACCAAGTTTAATGATAATCGAGTCAAAAATGTGACCACTATGCGAACAAGGTCTATCCATATTTTAGCCGTGTGGCCCAGTTTTTGAGCCCAGGTGATCAATATTTGACCTAGAAATCATCAAAACATACTGTCAGACCAATTTTCAGGATATTTGGATCACAACAGTAGCCATTAAAGTGTTAACAAGATTTTTCTATTTTTAGCTCATGTGACCTAGTTTTTCATGCAAGATGATTCATGTTGGAACTTATCCGAACAATTATCTAGACATCTAGAATACTGACAAAGTTTGATGACGATTGAGTCAAAAATGTGACCACTAAAGTGTAAACAATGTTTTTCCATATTTTGAAGGTGTGACCTAGTGTCTGAACTCAGGTGACCAATATTCGAACTCGACCTAGAAATCATCTAAATAAACTTTCAGACCAATTTCAAGGATATTTGGATCAAAACTGTAGCCACAAGAGTGTTAACAAGATTTTTATATTTTTAGCTCCTGTGACCTAATTTTTTCATCCGAGATGACCCATGTTCGAACGCATCCGAGCAATTACCTAGACAAGCATCCTTACAAATTTGCTAATGACTGAGGCAAATATGTGACCGCTAGAGTGTTAAAGTACAAATGTGGATGGACGACGTCCGACTGACAAAGGACGGACGACAGCCATTCAACGATCCTAAAGCTCACCCTGAGCAAGCTCAGGTAAGCTTAAAATGTACTAGGTAAATCCATACTCAAGCGTGTATCAGTGGGTAGTACAAACATCGTTTGTACCACCAGCAACAGTGTCTTTGGTCTGTGCTTATCAGTAAATCTATTTTTAGCATATTGACTACCTGTAAATCTCTTCTATTCTCTGTGGTTTATCGCAGCATTTGTCAGATGCATCTACTTTTTAGCTCACCAATCACAAAGTGAAAAATGGTGAGCTTTTGTTATCGTTTTTCGCCCGGCGTCCTTCCGCCCGTCTGTCTGTCCGTCCGTCTGTAAACTTTTACTTTAAATGACATCTCCTCATAAACCGCTCAGCCAATTACATCCAAACTTCACAGGAAAGTTTCTTTGGTAATCAACTTAAAGAATTCTTCAAAGAATTTAATTCCATTCAGAATTCTGGTTGCCATGGAAACCGAAAGAAAAAATAGAAAAAATCTACTTTACAAAAAAAAAGAAAAAGATCTAGAGCTTAAATATTTGGCATGAAACATTGTCTAGTCAGTGTTTACCAAGTTTGTTCAAATAAAATCCCTGGGGTCAAAATTGTCCCCGCCCCGGGGGATCATTGGTTTTTCCCTATATGTATAAAAATTCTTCTGTTAAAAAATCCAAAGAGTTAGAGCTAAGATATAAAGCATGAAACATCTTCTAATCGGTGTCTACCAAGTTTGTTTAAATAAAAGCCATGAGGTCAAAATTTGCCCCGTCCCGGGGGATCATTGATTTTTCCCTATATGTACATAGTAAAAACTTAAATAAAAATCTTATTTTAAACAAACCAAAGAACTACAGCTTAGATATTTTGAGATGTCCACCGAAGCCATTGTAACATGAAATTAAAGATTGATGAACTTGTAACTGGAGGCTTTGTAATGAAAACAGCCATTTTTTACAATATGGTCATGCGGTAAAAGGTTAAACATATGAGAACTTATAAATTCATATGTAAACGGGTGATAAAAACGTGTTTGTTAACAAATGCTTTTTCATTGTCCTGGTTCACATGTGTAAAACAAAATAACATCCACAAATTGATAAAATATCATGTTGCCATTATTTAACAACACACACGAGCCGACCCGTCAAAAGAGTAGGTCAATATTTGATGTTCACACACATTTAGTCCCAGTTGTTTAATCAGAATAATCAAAGGTGCCAAAACTCAACTGACTTGCACACATGTATTTATATATCAGAAGTTAAAAAAGAAAATATTACACGTGTTAAATTATTGCCCAAGTTGAAAAATATTTCTGCCGGATAATTAGCAGATCAGTTACTGACATATGTAAATTATTAATCGTAAGTGCATTTTTTATTTTGTTGATTACGAAAACCCGTATTCAATCTCCCTTTAAAGATTAATGATTTTGGTTAATCTGTAAATAGTGATCTTGTCTTCTTTCTTTATAAATCTAATGTAATCTCATTGAATAAGATTTTTCTCGCTCCTTCCTTGTGATTACTTGCGCATTTTGCCTTTTTTCTTCTTTTTTAGTTGTTTTCTTTGACATTTCTATGCTATAATTGGACCTTCAAAATGTATGATTTTATACAAATATACATAAAATTTAGTTTAAGTATATTGATATTAGCCTAATAAATTTTACGAGAACGATTTGACCAATTTTACAGACATTTAATTTCATACTACATGCAAAATACACCGCCGTCAAAATTTATTTCCGCGTTTCTTTGACAAGTCTTATAAGTAATAAGTTAGACGATAGGACATTAATATCTAAATTTACCTGGCAGCGTATTTCAACGCAAATTCTTTTCGGGGCAGATTTTTTCTTTTCATTTTCTATAAAAAGGATGCAGCGGGTCAGTAAACAAAAAAATAATGGCCTGGATGTCAGTGTTATAATCCGTTTTGTTTGGCAATATTATTATATTTGTAGGCACATAAGATCCTCAATCTAAAACGCATGCCAGGAGATTTAATCAACATATTCTCAGTATCACGGTTCGAAACTATTCACTGTTTAGAAGAGATGATGTGTAAGCGGCCGGAAAGCCCAGTCGGTAGAACCGCGGTACGGTATTCCGAGGGTCACAGGTTCGAGTCCCGGTTAGGCTGCACATTTTTCTCACCCTGTGACATTTGACGTCTAACGAAGGGTCGTGATGATATATAGCTCCGAGTTCAATTTCACATTGTTTCCTTTACCCATTAGAAATTCGAGGACGAATTTCAGTGAAGCAGGGGAGTATGTCACGGTTCAGAACTATTAAGGGGAGATGTGTAAGTTGCCGGATAGCATAGTCGGTAGAGCCTCGGTACGAAATTCCGAGGGTCCCGGGTTTGAGTCCCGGTCAGGGTGAATGGTACACCTATATATATTCATGTACTGTCAGTTTGGGCAAATCTGTAATGTAGGAAACCCAATACTGCTCCCCTTATCTTGAATTCCTACCAATATGTCGTAACATCGATGTGATGCGTGTAGCAATCTGTATAATCTAAAAATGGAAATAAAAAATGAAAGAAAAATTGCGATAACAATATCAGTAGACATTATAACAAGCACAAAGGCATAATAAAATTAATCATATAATTTATAAAAAGTTTTGAAGTGCCTTTCACTGATTGGTTAAGAAGTATCTTTTTGTAAAAATAACATGTAAATATCAGTTTGAGAGTACATGTATATTCCTTTTTTTCCCTTAAAATGACATGACAATATTATTCAGAAAACTAATCTTTTGGTGACTCGTATATATTATTCAAATTAGTCTATTACATATGCCGTCTTTATCTTTTTAAGAACATTACGATTTTTTTCTTTTTAAGAATAGGACTTATTATGGAAAAAAGTAAACAAGCTGAAGAAATGTCAATTTCCGTTTTATTAAATGGAAGATTTGATAAGCCATATACAAGCTTTTTTTAAGCCATATACAAGCTTTTTTTAATAATATAATAAAATAGATATGTACTTTGTAGCTATTGACTAGTGTACAATTATTGACTAGTAAGCCATAAAATAAGAAGAAGAAGAAGAATTTTATTTCAAAATCCACATGTAAACAACAACAGTCTGGTTTAGGCTAATAAGCCCTTGACCTGACACAAAATAAAATAACAACATTCCCAGCAATACAATACATTACAAAATACATTACAATACAATGACGGACATTGAATAATAAGATTACTCACTTTCAACATATTGTTTATATATACATTCATATATTATCAGAAGTTCAGAACTATATGATGTCAGTTACATATTAATTCATATCAATTATAATTTCATACATATTTATCTCTTTGATTATTTGGTTTATTATCTTGTTCTGTGTGTGTTCTTTTTTACTAAACATCAATGGTTATAAATGTTTACTTGTTTTATCATAATATGCTCATATATAATATTTATAATGTTTGGTATTACTAACCTCCTACAAATATATACATAAACATATATATAACATAATGCCTTGTATCGAAAATGAAATTACAAGACCATTATTTTAACTACTATCTAAAGCATGGCATGTTTTTATGTCAGATATGAATACTAGTATGTCAGATTTAGACACACATACAAATATGCATTTTAGTATTTCACAAATTGCCTTGTATCGAAAACGAAAGTACAAGACGAGTATGACGCATACAAGGGAAATAATCATGTCAATTATAATGTAAACGAAATCAAGATTTGTTTACCTTTAGTTTTTGCTATAATAAAATTGTAACATGAATTAATTTAACAGGGGATAATAAAATACGATGAGAAGAACAAGAAAAAAAGAATAGCGAACATGATACAACATATCAAACATTTAAAAGGTACCAAATTAAGTTTGAAAATAGGAAAATGTTTATATAAGTAAAGAGGAAAGGAACTTTTAAATCTGACTGTATATAATTATTCATTAATCTCTAAGATTGCAATGTAGATTCTTTTCGAATCTCGAAAAATTTATAGAGAAACATTGCTAAATGTCTTACAATTTGAATTGAATGAGAGTTAAACAGTTCTGCAGTTTTATACATATTTGGGTTTATTACGTAATATTGGTTGATATATCGCTTCCTTATAGAATTATACAATTTACATTCAAACAATAAGTGAAATTCGTCCTCTAACTTTTGACATGCGTTACATAATCTGTCGCTTAAGGAAATATTACCCCATCTGCCAGTTTCAACACTTAAATGGTGAGCTGGCAGTCTTAATCTGGTTAAAGCTGTCAAGTATTTACTTATATTAACATTTTTTAGATAAAAGCTATTTTCAAATTTTGCAAATACTCTATAAAATCTTGCTCTTGATGATAAATTTATACGACTTGTCCATTCTTGAATAAAAACATCTGAAATTCTTTGTTTTAGCTTAGATAAAAACAATGTTTGGTTACCAACACCCTGAGCTAGTCAAACTTCGAAAAATCCTAAATTTCCTAAAACATCTCTGACTTGAGATGCCCAGTTTATTACCCTGTTTTTTTTTTTTATCTATATCACTAAACATTTGCAAGTAAATCAATTTGATTTATTTTCGTTCAATACTACTTGTAACTTTTAACCAATATTTAATTATTCTAAAAATACGCTGTGAATAAAGAAACGTTCTACCAAGTTCACCATAGATAAAATCATTCTGAATAGAGGTTTTAACATAAAGAATAGATTTACAAAATAGAGTATGAATTCTTTCTATTTGTGGAGCTTTAGTGAAACCCCATACCTCTGAACCGTAAAAAAGAATCGGTTTAACTAATTTATCAAATAATATGATGTGATATTCACCGGCAATTGACATATTGACCAATTGATATAATTATGACATATTCTGATGTTAAGTGTTCTTAAAATCGCTTTAAAATCCATTGAAAAATGACAATTTCACATTTTAGACGATCCAAAATGTTTGATAGTGTAGATTGAAATATCTGTAATCGAAAGATATGCACTTAGTGTCATACTCATACATGACTTATTACCAACACCTGTGTAGTTACAAGTAACACAATTCTCTGTACAATGGTCTTCTTTTGAGTCGAAATGTGTTTATTACGAAACAGATTGTCACTTGTGTGCTGAGTTATATGAATGAAAATAAACGAACGGATTTATTTAAGCAATCATATGATCCCCGAAGCAAAAATGATCTTTTTAACTGACACATCTTATGTAGCACATAGCCGTGCCGCTTTTGCATCTCCATGCGTCGGCAATGTAGAAACATATAATTAAGACGCTCTAAAAGCACTATGACCTTGTCAATGAAAAAGTGATTCATTTTACTGTAAACAGTTCTATCTTAGATATGTGATAAATAGAATATTATATTCGTGTAGCTTCATTGCTAAATGTATTGCACTCGTTGAATGAAATAAAAACAGAGGATCGCATAATACCATTTTATTCATCTTGGTCCATAAAAACAATATTGAACCTAAACTCATTCAATATCGTCTAAATATTGAAGAAATGTCAAGATATATATGTAATAGCAAGAACATCGAAACACGAGGCTTTCTGTTTTTACGAGGCGCTAGCCCCGGAGTATTAATCAGATTGTCCAGTGTTTTGATGTTCTTTCTCTTTTGTATCATAGTCAAACATAAAGACACGTTCCCTGTTGTCACAATATGAAACCCCAGAAAAAAGAAACCAATATGAGAGCATCTGAATATGATATTATTATCGCTTTCTCTTTCTCTGCCGTCACAATAAGTACACCCCAGCAAAATGAGCCAATCAATGGTCATGCTTTTGAGTGCGGGTAACTTATACCGTCACTCCAGTTAACGCACTGTAAATGTTTATGTATACGCTTTAACTCTGACACATTTTCAACAGAAAGGTCTCCAAACTATTTTATAATGATGAATGCTTATCCGATGTTGTTTTTTGTATGACCATGAACAAAAACAAAATGAACTGACCGAATTAACTTTTGGTCTAACCCTTTTCTTTCAAAAATGTTTTTTTCATTTTGTTCTATATATTTGCATTGGAAAATTATTTGAAATAAATAAAAGACATGAAAAACGTTTAAACAAAATTTAATGAACTTTCACTAATATACAAGCGTGTATTAAACAAATGTTCCGTTATTTTGTGAATCAAAGGGATCATATCAGCAATGCAAATAAATAAAAGCCCTGGTTTATCTGAAATTAACGATTTCTTTATGATTTGATGGAGAGGAGGGAGTGAGAAGGGATGTGCAAAAGTTGAAACAGATAAATATTTGCTATATATTCAATATGTACACTCCATCACATAACAATTTAATGTATTTCGGTTTGACTTAATCTTTTTGGTGGTCTCCATATATCTTCATTATCTAGGTTGAATCTAATATCTCCAATTTTTTTAACCGTCATTATGTATGTTTCCCATTTTTTCCAAAAACAAAAACTTTGCGTCTTGTCAAACGTATAGATTGATTATGTAATACAAAAATACACAATGACTTAATTCGTGTATTTATCCGTGCAAGTTAAACGCGTTTAGAAAATATTTCAGATTGTCTGATAAAAATTGACATATCTAGATAATAAATTGTTCGGGTTATATCATAAACAATGATAACACGTCACTTGCTTTTTTTTTTGCAATGTAACAATACCATAGTTTAACACAGTACAATACCATGACATCACCGATATTGTGTTATGTAATTTGAGTGGCGTTATATTTTAATAATAGACACGTAACATAAAAGAAATCCAACATCATGGTATTCCATCAATGAAAGTTGTTTTTGTTTATTATATGGTATTCATTGTTTGAAATTTTTGTTTTTCAGGTAAAACCAGAAATTTTATAGATATCATTTTTTTGTCCTTTATATATTAGTCCACGTAGGACAAATTAATTCACACGCACGCACGTGCACATACATACATACATACATGCATCCATCCATCCATTCATCCATACATACATACATACATACACTGCAGGGATTTACCGGACGCAGGATCCTGCGTTATATACGCATAAAATGCCATCCTGTACGCACAAAAATAAATTCTGCGTACACATGGGCGCAGAAAAATCGTCTAAAGTAACTGTCATTTCCATATTTTAAAATAAATACTTAGTATCGTGACCACACAAAAATTGTTTAGAGTAACTCTCCTTTCCATATTTTTACGATATCTAAAATGTTTTGGTTAGCGATGAAGGTCATGGGAATCACCAATTGGTATTTATAGTAACGCGTCAGTTCATTGGCTAGTTAATGTCCGCATTTAAAATACCGAGCAATCATTAGTGAGCACCCTTGTGTCCCGGATATTATTATCAGTCGGAGCGCTCAGTTGTTACGTTATCTATGACAGTACTTTCATCTAGACAGTACTTTCGGTAAAACAGGCTGACTTAATTAAGAAGTTTTTGGTTGGAGTGGTCCG